TTGGAGGTTTAAGAACAGAAGGAATGCAGCAGGCTCCATTTAGTCTGCCTTCGAAATATGCCACTTATAGACTTTCTAAAATGTCAGACTCTTCACCATTTACAGGGCCACTGAACTCTGCCCCGATGAAGCCGATTGCTGTGCTGACCATAAACCAAGTGGTACAGGCCAACTTTGCCTCCTTCCTGCTAGAATGGGAACAAAAGGCTTAACTAGTCGTTACCACGCCAAACAAGGGCAACTGGTTGATCCAGTCTTTTGGGCCTGTTAAGTCAGTTTCGCACCCGCAAGTAGCGTCCTGACAACCGTGTTTTGTAGCTTCTGTCTTTTCTGTCAAGACTACAGGCTTGGCGTACAAGCCGCAGAGAGAAACTCTGCCATCAAGTAACTCACATGCAGTTCAGGCCACAGGCAGCGAACTAAAGTAAACCTGTGCACAAGTGCATTGACTCGTCCTCACGCCTCGATTTGCATAATTCACCAATCCTCTGTGGACCTGTCCTTACGAGGATGGGCGGCCACATTCTCATCCAATACAGACCTGCACTGGCGGAAGCGTTTGACATGACGAGGTACACAAACATGTGATCGATTAATTGTTACGACAGCTCATGTAGCATTAAATTATTCTATTATTATTTAGACCAGGTAAATCTTTAATAAGAATTTGATTCACAAGTTGTCATACTACTGATATTTCGTATTTAAGTAAACAAACATTTGATCGATTGATTGTTACGACAGCTCGTGTAGCATTAAATTATTCTATTATTATTTAGACCAGGTAAATCTTTAATAAGAATTCGATTCACAAGTTGTCATACTACTGATATTTCGTATTTAAGTAAACAAACATTTGATCGATTGATTGTTACGACAGCTCGTGTAGCATTAAATTATTCTATTATTATTTAGACCAGGTAAATCTTTAATAAGAATTCGATTCACAAGTTGTCATATTATTGATATTTCGTATTTAAGTAGAATTTCGAGACGACCAGTAAATCAGTAGTATGAGATGTATCCACCCTATTTCGTTTAAGGTGATGAAGGACTGGTAGTAGAATTTTCCCACAATGGCATGAGTAGAGCTGACGGTTTCATTGAATTTCACATTGCCTTGCTTTCTCAAAAGTTGTTCTCCTCCAGAGCGGATGGCAGTTTCGACCTCGCATCGGTCTTATCAACACCCCTAGCGGGAGTCGAACCGTGACTTGGCAGAATGTGAGCTTGACACGTTAACCACTCGGCCATATTGTCACGAGTGCCCTTGGGCGACAGGGCAGATGTGAATTTCGAGGACTGATAGTTTAATTTTCCCTACGATCATATGCATGAGGCTCATATACATTATTCTGACCCGGAACCATCATCGGTGCCTGAACCTAAGGCTTGGCATACTTCGAACTCGGACAAGCCAGTCCAATTCAGAGGTAGAATAGGAGGTGGACACAAGTTGGCATACATCCAGAAAGATGATGGTGATGAATTCACCGAGGTGCTAATCAGTTCCAGTAGCAATCGGCTAAATCCTTTTATGGTTTTCTTTAAGATGAAAGAATGTAACTTAGCCGTCCTAGGTCGCTTCAGGTGATTTAAGTACTAATACTGAAGTTTTTATAAGATGAGATAAGCAAGCCTTACGATTTCAGCCACTCTCCCTTTGTCTTGCCTCCCAAAAGGCTTGCTCCTCTGGGTTAGACCTCAATTTCCACTTCGCTTTATCACCCTATCAACACGCCCAACAGTATTCGAAACCGGATCCTATGGATTGTGACGACACGTTACCACTTCGATACACCCGCATGGAAGTCGTGGGGATAATTTATAGAGTAGGACTGTAAGACAACTTATATTCGATGTCGGTGTGTCCGTAAAATGTAATAATTCTTGTATTTTAATAGGGAAAAAAAATAGGACGAAACTTAGTGAAGTTTGATGGCATATCGTTATAAGAAAAGCTTATATATCAGTCCTCTAGTCAAACTAAGAGACTTAATTGTGTAGTTAAGAAGTACCAATAGATACAGATAAATGGAAAAATTGATCATCCCAAGCCATAAATAGCTCTTTATAAAAAGGCTTTTCTTCATCCAATCCAATGTTATATGGTTAAGAATTATGTCCATTGTAGACGCCAAAACAAGGAATAAAACATGCTGAAGGACACGACAAAGTCATCGAAGATATGAAGAATTAGATGGCGTGGCCTTTTGCGTAGTCACAGTCTCCTTTCGTTGTATAGAAGTTGTTTGACCTTGTTTTCTCAAATTGGTCATATTGGCAGCAAGACTTACAGGAATGCACTTAGTCCGGAGTCCATTGTATGCATCATCATTTCCAGAATAGGACCGTGGGCGTGGTACATTCCCGCATCGTCAGTGATATTTGATATTTAAGTAGAATTTCGAGACTACCAGTAAATCAGTAATATGAGATGTATTCACCCAGTTTCGTTTAAGGTGATGAAGGACTGGTAGTCGAATTTTCCTACAATGATATGAGTAGAACTGACGTTTCCGTTGAATATCACATTGCTTTGCTTTCCCAAAAGTTGGACTGTAATTTCGACCTCGAATCGGTCTTATCAACACCTTCAGCGGGAGTCGAACCGTGACACTGCAGATTGGGAGTTTGAAACGTTGTCTACTCGACCACATTGCCACGAGTGCCCTTGGGTCACAGGGCAGATGTCAATTTCAAGGAAGGCCAGGCATTTTCACAGATCACATTCTTTGGTGGGAGTGTTAATGAAGCAAATTTATATTCATTATAAAAATCGACTACATTACTTATTTTTCGTGCCCTGTGACCCAAATGCACTCGTGGCAATGTGGCGGAGTGGCTAACTTGTCAAGTTTGCATGGTGCACTGTCATCGTTCGACTCCCGCCAGGGATGTCGATAATACCTATGCAAGGTCGAAAATGCAGTCCACGCTGGATGATAACAACGTTTGGAAAGTAAGGCTATGTAAAATTCAATGGAAACACCAGCTCTACTCATATCATTGTGGGAAAATTCAAGTACCAGTTCTTCATCACCTTGAACGAAATAGGGTGAATACATCTCATCTAAGGGATTTACTCATAGTAGCTTATAAACGAAAAATATTTGGTAACATCACAAGACACTCTCTGGGATCCTCTAAAAGAATGCTGTATTATTGTGGATTTCTTTTTCTGCAAAAACATGTAGAGTCGAGGCCAGACAGAGTGAAAGCGGTGATTGAGGCAAAAAAGGGGGTCATGCCAAATATTGAGATATTTTGACTGAGTGAATACAAATACACTTTTTTTGACATACACACAAGTGAAAATTTATGTAAACTTGCTTGAAAATTTGCAACTGAGCAAAAATTTATTTGAGCTTTTATTACATTATGAAATAACCACAGTTTTTAGTTGTTGACTTGGACTTTTTCGTTCCACTCTTTTTCGTACGAGGGATTAAGATTACAAACTTGTGTCTGAGCAGCTCTGATCGTTACCACAGACACTTTCTTAGACTTTTCCCTCATTAACACGTAAAGTTCAGTTCGTATCTCTGCTCGTCTTGGCTGCAAGCCCATTTGTTTATAACAAGCTTAGTTTTGCTTCAGTTTTTAACAACCTACAAGATTGCTTTAGCTCCACTCGGATCTGCTGGCCAAAATTCTCGCATCGACTGAGGCTCGGTCACCAGCGTCTGTTCTGTCCAGAACAGCACCAGACCTTGCCAAAGTTACCGATAAAGCAGAGTAAAAATGTCCACCTAAAGCCGATCTCTGAGGCGATAGACAATATTCCCATATTGCTTACTTTTTTATTGGGCTTGCCATGTGGGTATGGTTTGTTACTTTATATTTCCTGTTCTTTTTTAATGCATAATTATAACAATATTATTATTATTTGACTTTACTTAGTTCGAAGGACTTGGTAAAGGTGCACATTGTCAAGGGTCGAAACTCAAGGAAAGACCTCAAGGATGGCATGGAGATGGAAAGTTTGCTTGACGGACAAAAGCTCCGCGTTTCCCGGTACCCGCACGGAGTAAGTAGGCTCTTAGTATCTTTCATTTGCACATTTAAGCTCAGGAGACCAATAATGGTAACAAACAAGCGACCTGAACAGTGCCATGTTTTCGGCAATGTCGATTTGAAAAAGCCTCTGCCCTCGGAGTAACTGATGGATACATTTTAGTAGGACTGCTTCATGTACTTTAACATACAAAGACTGATGCCCTCGGGAATGTCGTACTAGCCGCCGTGCTTGAACTGATAATTACAAAAGCTTACATGTGCAAAATATTCCTGGCTTTAAGGCCCCTCGGAAGTCGGCACCTCTAGTAGAGATTACCTGTCCAGCATGACAGATATATTTAACCAATCTATGCCTTCATAAGCGCGGATTAGGACAGAATATAGCACCAAATGGTAGAATGTGCAAATGTACTGCTCAGCTGAACTATCTAAACTCAAGTAGTATCTACTGGAATCGTTTTTTGAGTGTTTTTATTGGCCTTAGAAGTTCCCTGTGACTCAGTTCTGGATGTGGAAGATACACTTTCTCCAAACGCCTGGAGAAATCTATGCATACCATATAATGAATTTTGATTTAAGAGTTGTATCCATCCTATTTCGTTTAATGTGATGAAGGACTGGCAGTTGAGTAACCCTTACATTTCCATTGTAATTGACATAGCCTTGCTCCCCGAAAGGTGTTCTAATCCGGCTGAAGTGTACTTAGTTTCGACCTCGCCTGGGAAGTCTCATCAGCAGCCCCAGTAGACTTCCAACTCGAGTTGTGGTAGTGCAGTATAATGTCTCAACAAAATAATCCCTATATCTCGCGAAATGGGTTGAAAATGACTCTTATATAAGATCTCACGGTAGTTCAGAAAATCTACTTATATACTGAAATATAATAAAGTTTTCCGAAGAAGATGAAAATTAAAAAAATACGAGGCTTATCAGAAATTAATAACAAGTCACTATGTAGTTAATACCGACTAATTTTCCAATCAGAGAAAGCCTAAATGATTAGGAATGAATAATTGGTAGCATTAAACCATAATTGCCATTTACTATTATTGCTTTGCGTTGCTTGGAATCTAATTTATTTGACTTTGTCATATTTTGTGATTTTATTGTATTGTTTTTCACTTTATTGCAGTTTATTACATTTAGCTATAGTTTCGTTTATTGTATTGCCATATTGAATCACAATATCTTCCGACATATTTTATTGCTTTGTATTGCATCCCAATGTATAGCTTGATTTATTATTTTTATGATATTCTATTGGATTGGATTGGATTGCAATATATTCCTTTGACAATATTACACCGTACTTTTTTCATTTTCCTACTTCTCATACGTTAGAATAAAAAAATACAGAACTTAATCACCCTGATCCGTTTAAAGTTAAGTTAAGATGAATATTTGAATTTTCTCACAATAAGATGTATAGGCCTCATGATGACATTAACTTCTGCTTAGCCCTGCCTCCCAAAAGACCAGATTCTCATCGAGGAAAACTTGATAGTCTACATAAACTACTCGCGCCGAAAATAAGTAGCATCGTCAAAAGCAATGGCAAAACGTGTATGCCTAATTGGTAATTCCATTAGAAAATGCGATTTAGGTAAGGCTTGACTTGCTTTGAATGATACTTTTTCACTGTGATCTAGTGGAACCCATTGGTCATAATACTCACGATCCGGCATCAAAACCCATTCGGAGTGCTAATGGGACCGAGCTCGAAACAGGAGTCCAGCAATTGGGAGGCAGGCAAGGAGGAATTAGTGTGATCCTGGCATATACTTATCTCATTGTAGAAAAACTCATTTGTTAGACCTTAAATTACTTAGGCCGATTAAGTATTTTTTATCCTTTACATTTAATTGCATGCAAAATGATTATAAAAACTTCTTTCACTATCTTTTATTCTCAGGTAACTTGTATTGACTGCATGGAGCTAACCGAAGTCGATAAAGAATGCGAATCTGGTCTTATACACATTGTTCGTTTTGTAAGTCCTAATCTTTATGTTGTTACTACACAAATTAAGTGTTAAATGAGATTTTTAGCTAGTATTTCTTGTGGTTTCTGTCATTGGATACAACTTAAAAATTTGGAAGCATTCTAAAAATTCAAGAAGACGGCTGACACTTATCATGGCAATGCATTAGTTTTTGATAAGCAAACTCGATCCGTTTAAAGGGAGCATATTTTTTCATTGTTAATCTCTGCAAAAGACTATTGGCTAAAGTAGTGATCGGAAAAATTGACAAAACCCCAACTATGTAATTTGAAATGAGAAGATTAGGCAGTTTGGGCATGCCTGCTTATCTCCGTCCTCGAGAGTCCATCTTAAAATTTCATTTCATCCGAGAAAGAATTAGAAAAATGTTCGTAGCTAGGCAGAAACAAAGCAAATCTAAGTTGTCAAAAGAGTACCATCAATGTCAGTGGCCCTTTGCCATACCAGGTTTTGAGTGAAAATATTTAAATCTTGTTATAATAATCAGGAATGTAGATGATTTTCGTTATTGTCTCAAAAAGTCTGAAAATTTAGGGCAAGTGTATTCAGTTAAAAGTAAATAGCGTTGGCGGAAATAAGTTAAAAAAATAGAGAAGAGTAGATAGGAGGGTAAGGGGAGGTGTAGAGTTTGGGGAGATCAGGAAGAGAGAGGAGTGGAAATGATATAATAGAAGTAAGAAAAGTACAGCTCATGAGCGATAATTCTTAGAATTGCTGAGAAAGCTAGATTCTTTTTCTATATTACTGTCCTTGTCTCTTCTCATCTTAAATTCCAGGTTTTCATCCTGGAAGTGTGCATTTGCATATTTCGTGAGCCTTATTCTTTAATATTTTATCAGTTATATCAATTCCTCTTTTTATCTCTAACTTTAATTCACAAGCATATTTATTTTTCGAAGGCATGAAGACCAAGATGATGTGGCCTTTTGTGTGGTCGCAGTCTCCTTTAGTTGTATAAAAGTTGTTTGACCTTGTTTTCGTAACTTGGTCATATCGGTAGGAAGACTTAGAAGAACGAACCTTGTCAGGAGTCCATTGTATGCATCATCATTTCCAAAGTCGGATCGTGGACGCTTCTCCGGCATCGTCAGCGAGTCTTGTCATTCTCAGCACAACACAGCAAAACAACAACTCGTCAAAGAGACAAGTGAAGCCGATCCTTTGACAAAACGTGTGCTAAATAGTTGTGGTATCTCCCTTTCTGCCCTGGGCTGTTCACAATTCATATAACCCCCTATCACGCCTTCACTATCACAATTTTTTCCGTACATATTTCGATAATGTGTGGTATGCTTCTTTGAGCGGCATTCATGAAAACCCTCCACACTCCACACTGGCGTTCTCTCACCCTCTTCACCTTTGCTCTGGGAATGGTGATCTGGGTCTGGCATATTGTTACGCAGTCCTCCTTCCTTAGGTCTTACCACAGTCTCCCTCTTGCCCCGTAGAATCCGTCTGCTATCGCCCTGGTTTAAGCATTTTCACTCGACCTCTGCCAGCCCATCTCTGCTACTCGAGGCGTTATTCGCCCTCCTCTTCGTCTCATGATTAGTTATAGGCTTTTACTACATGGACCACGTCTTTGATAAAAACAGGCCTACTGTG